CCCTCTTATTTTTGTTTTTTTGTTTTTTGAACTGCAACCACTCATGCACTTTACACAGACACAAATCAAGCACCTACTGGACAATGGGGTTCCCTCGTTAGAGCCCTCCCACCCCAGTTTGGTTTACACAAAAATACCCCCTGGTCCCTATGGGTCAATTCCCCCCTTTCCCAGGCAAGCATACATACAACAATAATAATACATAAGGGTTTCAATTGCAATACAATCACTAGAAATAAGAGAACAGTATGCACAAAATCATAGAATAGACATGTTAAATAGACAATAAAATAAAACATTCAATAGCTCATCAAAGGTCAACATTTAAACACTGGTCTCCATCTGATATTCTATCTGTGTTCCAATGTCCACCCCTGGTTTCTGCTATATCTGAAAAAGGTAAGAAAACAGATCAGGATTACTTTTCCTTGTCACTTATAGCGTATACTGCCAAATCCTTTACTTAGCATATATACATATATACACATATAAATACATTCCCTAAACTTTTCATTTTATAAACAATTTGTTCAACAAGGTAACTTTCTTAATTTTCTACTTGGCTCTTAAAATAAACAATCAGCTAATAGCTGCTTTCTGCATCTTCTCTGCAATTCAGGAAACACATTTCTAGCCAACCTAAACATGTTTAATAACTCTCCACCCTTTGGTTAAATTATAGAGGAGTGAACCACAACACCTCTTCCGCCTCTGAAAGGATATAGGTCAATATGTCTCAAAGTTCAACACTTCTGACAGCTATGAGTGACTCCCTATTAATTTCTAGCCTTTCCACGGACATGCTTGCACCTCGCGGCTAAGGGCCTGCACAACTAACCACCCTGTGATGGCAGTGGCTTTCCGCATGGGGGTGACCGCCCCCGCAAAATTATAGAGGAGCAAACATACAGCAGCCTCTTTTCCGGCTTGATTAAAGGTTCTGGGCCAATATGTCTGCAATTTAACCAGTACACTCACGTATCACTTATTGTATATTTCCTGGTCTCTCAGGAATTTCTATTAAATAGCGTATCCCCTTCCCAGGGCAATATACAACAAAAACTAGTCACCAAGGGTCTCTATGGTCATGATAGGCCACCCTACCACTAGTGTAATACGCCCTTTTTTTAAAATATATTTCCTGGTCTCTCAGAGATTTTGCCTATCCCTTTCCCAGAGCAATATATATAAACAATTACAAATAAGTTACAAAACGCTACTTATAAGTAATACAGGGTTTCAAATAATAATACAGGATAGAACTGCACAACAACTATTGGGTATGCTCCCCCTTATCCGGACACGTTTAAATACCCCCTAGCTCAGGTTCCCCACCCGCTACTGTAACTAAAATCACAGCCCACGTTATGGAGGTTCACCCGCTAGGCAGATACACCCTAATTCAAAGCATGGAAATATTAAAATCAGTTATAGATGGCTTCTAAAATAATATAAATCTTAATCTGAGCCCCTACACTTACTTTGTTAAAAATGCTAACTTGTTAAAATATTCAGACTAAATAGGACAAAGGAATTATTTTACCATTTTTTCAGTTCATTTGTTACCAGTTCCTGCATATGTCCAGTAATTCCTTAGTCCTGGATAATAAAGCTGAAAAACACTCCACAAATTGATTAGCTTAGGCAATTACATTTACAAAACAATGCAGTTTATTTTTTCTCATACAGGCAAGACTACCCACCCCCAACAAGGACAAATTCTCCCCCAGCTGTAGCTGAAAAGCATGGTCACACAGCTGTTAAAAAGGTGGTCTCTCCTTCATGAGTCAAAATCATATATATTTATACTAATATTCTGTGTATACGCACACATAAATCTATTATTCACTGAATCTGCTTTACTAAACGTATCTTTTTCTTAACTACTAATTTAATACATTTTGTCCAAATCTCTTTTCAACTAGACAAATCCATGAATACCAAACAAATGTAAATTAGTACACAAACAGGGTCAAATTTAGCAATAAAACCTGGTGAACTAGTTTAGTGAAAAGTCTTTTCCTATGCAAATGGTAGCAAACAATGAAACTAGGCCTCAACTCATTCACACCATGTGGTCAATGGTGGATTAAAATCCACATGGTCAGACAAAAAGTAAAATAGTTTTTTGTTTTATATATAAAAATGACCAAAGGTTGGTAAAACGTAACAAGCAACACAATAATTCATCACTATGTTCTACAACAAGAGATACCTTAAAAAACAAATATCTAATCCCTATCTGCTATCTGCATTCATTCCATTAAAACCAAATCATCATTCATTTATTCATTTGTATACAGACAGACAATTTACAGTATGATTTAAGCAAAATGCATAACATTTATATTTTCCCCAATATTCAAGCATAATCCTGCCGACTACGCCAAATGTTGTGGTGTGACCTAAATATGAATATTAATCTCTTAATACATAATAATTAAGCAATACGGAACAACATTAATATTTTTATAATTCATGGTATTATGGTCGAATATGTGGATAGAAAATACACAAAACGTTGTAATATTAAATGTATATTTAATATAACTATAATAAATAAACAGATGCTAGCGGAATGTCAATTTCAATAATTATACAATACAATACTACACAAAACACTATTGGTTGCTAAGGCTATTACAATTGCTAACTGTTACAATACAAACATATTACTTACAAGGCCCCAGCCAAAGGGCTGGGGCTAAGTCAGAGCTGCTACTACATCTTTCAGGTACAGGCAAAGAGGCAAAGAGAGAGAGTTTTCTCCTCCATCTGGTTTTATTCAGTGTAAGTAGGCTGGCCTGTGATGTCACTGCCAGAAGCACATGTCTTCCTACACACTCCCCCTAGTGGTGCCCCCAAAGCATTACACTAAATATGCTTTCTTTATGATGTAAAGTCATTAATTAATAAATACCATTACACTTACTAATAAGAATTTATGAAATAAAAAAATTAATTTAGAACAAGAACAATGTATGCTATTTACACAGACTGAATTAAAGACATTAATTTGATTATAATTGTGCTGACTGAAGCTGATTGAAAAGAGGGACAGATGGATTTGTGCCCAGAATAGGTAGTGTCCCTTCTAAATCAGGGCAGTTGGGAAGTATGGCCCAGCAGTGTAAATGAAGTGACATCTTCAAAATTGTTATGTTTTCTCATTTAGATCACAGTCTCACTCAGCCATTAATTCTCTCACAGACACACAGTCATTCTGAGCCTGCACCATCTCATAGCTACATATTTCCCATAAATATGTGACCATAAAGTTTTTTTTATAATAAACACGTTTTTGTATATGTGTCCCATGTGGGTATTTTCCTAACTAAAAAACAAAAAGGCAATTGCCAACAGCAATTTAGATACTGTTCTCTCAAAAAAAGCACATCTTCCTTACAGGGTCATTTAGTAAAGTGAGAATTCAAAGTGAATTTTAAATTTCAGTTCAAAATAGTCAAACTTTAAACATTCTGTTTAAAAAAATCATCAATGCTTTCAGTACAGTTACTCTGCCCTTAAAATAGAAATTCACTTTGAATTCCCAGGTGTGGCAAAACAAAAAACAATATAACCGAACATTGAAACTCCACTGTGGGAGAAAAAAGTAAAAGAGGGGTGAGCATTAGAAGATATTCTCTTTATTCAGCATCCATGTACATAAAAAATGCTACAACAACGTCCGAAAACCAGTAAAAATTAAATAAACCCTGTATGGAGGAGGGGAGAAAGACATACCACACACCTGATTGAACTTATTTTATCAACAGTTTATTCATTTTTATTGTTTTACGGTTTTTCTTGCCTTGTTATTGCTTGTTTTCGTACGTACACGAATATTAAATAAGGAAAGGATATGTGAATGCTATTCCCTCTTGTCCTTTTTTCTGTCAAGGTGGAGTGCGATATTAGGTTCTATCTGTTTTGTTGGTTTTTTTTTGGGGGGGGGGGTTTGCACTAATTGGGATTACCCTTATGTGCATCCCAAAAGAGATGTATAAGCACCTATAATTATATTTTGCTTGTCCCTTCCAATATTTAATGTTTTATTTTTTTTTTTATTACAGGGAAGCAGTGGATTCTCTTTTTTCTAATTTCCAAGAATGTTTGCCTCAGGAACTATTAAAGTGACGCACACTGAGCCAGATGGATGCAGTGATAGGCAGCTGAAATATATATGTGTGTTATTGCTCTTGCAGCTATACCATCAATGGCAGGGGGTGATACACTGTGTGCAGCCTCTAGAAGTTAATGAAAATTTGGACTGCAGCAATTGGTTGAGCAGGTCACCTTAAGCTCAGTAAATTAATAATGTACAAATATAGAAGAAGTTGATAATAATATAGATATATTAGCAAACAATGAAGAGAGCACTCACAGGACAAATTTCAGGAGAAATGTAATATAACCGTCTTTATTGAGGCAGGTTTAGTGTCACAGCAATAAGTTTGTTAGTCCATTCCCACATAAGGGTACCACAATAGGGACTTATCTGAACTGCCGAAAGATTATTCAGCAAGCACGGCATTCCATTCTTCCAAATGGAAAACCAGAACGGAGGAAATAGTAAACTAATTTTGGCTGAAGCAAATCGACTAACAGACTAAAATTATTTTATAAGTTTTATTTTCAAATTCATTCGAACAAACTGAAATATTCCAATATACACAAATCTAGTTTACGTAATAATCTTAATTAATTCAAAGATTCTGTGTCATAATGTGATTTACAGAACATGTTAGGGTTTAGTGTTGGACTCAGGGTGTGCTATAGGATGGAGAATTTGGGAGGGGCTTAATTAAACCTACGTGGGATAGGCCATAAAATCTACACTTGCACTAAAGTATCTGGTCATGTAGTGGTTATGGTACTTAGAGCGTCTCTTAAAAATACATTTCAATTTTACTTTAAAAGCTTTAAAATGTTAACTGTCATAAACTAGCAAAACCATTTCAACTGTTAACGTCACGTCTTTTGCAGCTAAATGAATGGACATTCACCACAGATTTTACATCATTGTCTGTAGTTTAATTAGCTGGCTAGAGACATGGAAAAGACGGAATAAACTACGCTCAAATTCAATAGCACCTAATCAACCATTGAAGACATCGTAAAAACAATATGACTTGGAATGCATCCTGCAGGTATTATCACTACAGCTTCTGGGAGGCTTGAAAAAAATTGTATAGTAAAGGAGATAATGTGTTTCGCAGAAAAGACAAAACCTATATCAGTAAATCGCTTCTCCAACAATTTAGACTGTGCTGACTTTGTGGAAAATGTGGATTCTAGCAAAGCAAACGAGAACTTGCGGAAAATTATAAAATCTTAGTACAGGAATCGTAAAATAAATCATTTTACAGATGTAATTGTTACTGTTTTATCAAATAAAGAAATAATTACACACATATACTGGTAGATGTTTTCAAAAGCCTGAGATTGCAGCATTTTCAGATAATACATAGTTATTTACAAGAATTGATATACTAGGGAAGGGATAGGCAACCTTCGGCACTCCAGATGTTTTGTACTACATCCCCCATAATGCTCTTATACCCATAATGCTGGCAAAGCATCATGGGAGGTGTAGTCCAAAACATCTGGAGTGCTGATTGTTGCCTATGCCTGTACTAGGGTATCTTGTATTCTGAAGTGAACTGGGGAATTGTGGCGGCACTTAACTTATCTGGGTCCCGCGGCTCGTGCACTCCCACATCCAAACAAGCCGCGTGTGGCTCGATCTCTTCTGAGCGACCTGCGCTGGAGGGAGGCTGTAGTAAATATATGTAAGAGCAGTGTGAAAATTGTGATTATTAACTTTTATTTTATTCTTGCTCTAGGCTGTAGCCCTTCTAGAATGTGTCAACAACTGCCTCTCTTCTGCTTTCCCCTTTATGTCCTCCTATTTTCAAAAACTCACAGGGTTATTTGTCAATGTGTGAACTGTTGGGAATTGAATTTTTATATTTAAGGTCAAAGAAACTGAACTTGTAGCTGACTTGGAGAATGTTTACAATTATGCTATTTTGATCACTGAATCCACATAGAGTTCCCTAAAATTCTAACTTTAGAGAATTGTCTCTGTCATTCTAAAACTGAAGTTATTTTCCATTTTCTAAAACGAATCCTAATTTGTTGCTGTTGTTGTCAGTGGTTCATCCAACCTTGCAAACTTACGGTCTTGTTGAAATCTTTGATTCTTGCATCACATCTATATCCCTTGTGCAATCTGTTTCCAAGTCCTGCCATTTTTACCTTAATAACTTTGCTCTCTTTTGCTCCTTTCTCGTGCAACTAAGGTCCTCTCTCCCAATAAATTGTTACAAAACCTCTGCCAGACTAGTCTTCCTTACCTGTCATCAGGAGTGTATGAACGGGAGGCAACTTATCTACCACTGGTGAATCACCTATAGGAAAACTTAGGTCGAACCCCACCAGCTAATTGTTGTCAAAATAAAAATCTACGATGTAGACGAGAGAGGGGAAGGGGTGGGGGGACAGACATAATTCCTACATGCTCAACATATACCGAATGCTTCCTGAATGCAACAAAAGTGTAGGCTTTAGGTGTAAACCAGGGCTAGACACATGGACAGCGCAGCATAGGTTACCTGCTGGCATCAGTCATGGCTCCTTTGATGTGTTTACACGGAAGATAATCTACTTGAATGTTACACTGTTTTTATGACTTTATTGTACGATGTTTGACGCAAATGGTAATGCATCTTCTGCGTTAGATAGAAGGATCTTTCTGTTATACAATAAAAAATTGATTTCAAACAAAATCTATTTGCCAATGGTAAAAGAGTAAACTTTGGAGAGGGAGATAAAATATTAAAATTTTCTTTATAAATGGCAAACAGTACAGTACAGTACTACAGTTGTTCACCCCAGTACTACAGTTGTTCACCTCCCTTAATTCCACCACAACACATACTTATGGACAAGTGACCTATGTACGTCTCTAGCTGTCTCCATCCTGTTTTCACCGAGACTTCCACCTAGTCTTCAATCCTTTAACAATTCTCTTAAATATAATTTCTATAGATAAGCCTATAATCTCTCTCTGTAATTTTCACTCCTTAAACCTGTATACCCTATCTCTTCTAATATAATTAGTGGATTAATAGTCCATTTCACTCTCTCACCTTCCTTCCCACCACATAGCTTATTTTTACACATGCTCATCTATTAATTTGCCTACCCATGCTCTTTTTCCCATGACTACCTCCTCACTATCCTTTCTGGACACTGTCATAGCACTCATATTGATCCCATGTGTCTTTGTGGCGTCCATTATTATGTGGACCACTCAGTCTGATGGTTCCTTACATCCATCCTGACTTGCGTCATTTTTTATGGCCTCAGCAGGTCATGTCATTTCAGTGACACTGGTCACGAATGTTTTGGCTTTGCAATTATGAAGCGTTCTAATAGAATGTGTTTCTGGGCTATTTAAAATCACTCCACAGATTGTCCATTGCATTGTCATGGTGTTAACTATCCAATAATACATTTCATACAGATGATTTGATTTTCTGTTTTTTGACTCTGCCCAGTTTATCGACTTTCTTGACGTCTGTGATCCCTAACCTTGACCTGTTTATTGATTCTGTGTATGTCTGTGTTCTTTGACCTTGACTAGTCTGTTTGTTCTTTATCTTCCTGCAGACTGTATCTTCTACCTTCTTATCTGAATTCCAGCCATTCTAAGGACCGGTAATATGCACTTTTTATACCATATGTCATGGGTTTGTACATAAGGGTATTCACAACTTGACGCATCCTCTAGATTTTAATCTAATTTGGGCAGGGCATCATTAATCTTTTGTTGCTGTTAACATGTGTTATATTTTCTCTTACATGCTGTTATATCCCTTTTGTAAAATTGTAAAGCTCTACAGAACATGGTGCTATATAAATCCTAATTATTATTAATGCAATGGACAGAAATCCAATATTATGATGGTGATAATATATAAAACAGACACTCCTGAATAAATCATTAATCAATAGAAAATATTAGTTGTTTTTCTATATAAAGCAATTTATATGAAGAAAAAAAACCCAAAGCTACTTATTATGTATGCAAACAGCATGTAACAATTTTTCTTAGACAGAATGTAGTATGCTACATTACCTTAATAACTCCATAGCGAATAGACCAATTTTAGTTCCAAGTCCTAGTGTATATGGGGGGCTGATAGGATTCATTCCAATTTGCAAATAGGTGCCAGTCATAAAAAGGTGAGAAAAGTTACACCCAGTGGAGATGACACTTAATCATTGGTTTGATTAACCTTTTCAAGACCAGAGTTAGGAAGAGCCCCTTTTAAACTGACAGAATGGTTATGTCATTAATCCTGCAGGGGTTAAGAAAGAGATTGTGTGTTCAGCAAAGCCACATGTTAAGTGCAGAAAACCCTTTGCACAAATCATAAAATTGATTTTTGTTACTGTCAGACAGAACCTTAGATCCCCTGGTTGGGTTTAAATTACATACACACCAGGGAACTGTCCCCAACAAGCATAACGCCAGCGCATCATTAAGTCGGGACACCGGGACAGGACCCAAAAATGTGTTAGGCAGACAGGACTTCCATCTAATGGTAAACTGTAAAATTGTTTAAGAACAGTCTGACTCAGTTGACATCTGGAGAATTATTATACATGTGGCTCTTCTACTCTATCACAACAACTACAGTACATGGGCTCACAATGCATAAGCTGCAAAGACTTCTAATTCAGGAACTTTAACTGTATCTTTTTTTTTGTCATATCAGAACTGGCCTTAAATTATGCCTCTTTATCTCAAGAGTGGCTTTGTCACATACCAAATCATCATGTGTTTCTTATTTTCTGTTTTATAGAGTCGATCCTAATGCAAACTTAAGAAGAATAGAAAGAAAGGAAGAAAATAGAAAGGAAAAAGGGACAAAATCCAAGAAAGGATATATAGAAAAAGATGGCGGATACTATATCTGCCTATTTATTTTCTTTTCAACTAATTATTAACCTCCATTATCAAAAGTCTCATAATAACTATCTACTCATGATCCTTCCACTGAGTCATCCAGGGCTCCCATATCTTACAAAATGGAGAAAATCCATTGAGCTGCCTCATCTTTTCCACTCTTTGTATCCATTGTTCCTTAGTCTGTGCTATGGCTTTACCCCAAAGGACCGGAATCATAGCATTAGCTTAATTCAGCAAATAATTCAACAATACCGGTTTATATTTTCCCTTAAAAGAGGCTGGCCATCCCAGCAATATCTTAGAAGGGGTTAATCAATTAAGGATTGGTAGGATCTTATATATATCCTTAAGACTTGTTGCCAATAAGCTCTAAGACAGTTTAAATCCCACCAAATATGTTCCATGTCTCCCCTACTATCTTAGCACCTCCAGCAAAGTTCGCTAACAGTTGGGCAATATTTATGTAATCGTGCCAGAGTCCTATACCATCTAGTAACTTTTTTATTTTCTATTACATTTAAAGCGGCACAATCGCCTGCAAAATAAGTATTTTATAAATATAGAATCTTTATTAAATACTCAGATTGACAGTTTTGGAATTTCACTGAAATTCCAACGCAGTGAAATGATATAATTAGACAGAGTAGGCAGTGGTATTTTCTCTATACCTGACAATCTTGACACTAGACAGAGCTACTGCCATCAAACTTGTCATTTCCCCAAGCTGTCACCAGGGTCAGCTGAAAGGAAATTAAGTTCTTTCTAAGGAGGATCCTATGGTCTCGCTGAATTCTGCAGAGACCTCAATGCTAAACTCTTAAACATACGCAAGAGAGCTGATATCGGCTCCTGACAGCTGAAGCACCAGGAGCTGTAGAAGACCATCATATTTCAAATTTTTAAGGTTTTTTTAAGCATATATAATCCACATTGGTTGTTTCTCTCTTTACATTCTCTCTGGAGAATACGTTTTAAAGAAGCAGTGGTGTGATGCTGTCCTAAGAGCATAAAAGTTTATCTTACGGAGCAAATTCTTATAGTCTCCGTTACATGTGAGCGATTTGGTTTTATCTAAACTTAATTGTGGTTTTAAATACCATCTGCACAATTTTTTGTCCTTTTACTTTTGTCTTTTATGTACTTGACTTACACCATACTAAGAATTTGTGGGGTAAGTTAAACCTCTGCACAGGTTGTACTCATACAGCGCTTCGCAAAAAAGGTATAGGTATATCTTATGCCATAAGTTTGAGTGAAATGAAAACTCTGATGACAAATTGCTACTGAACTCCTATGAATACAAATACATGTGTGAATTTGCAACACCC